CTGACCTCCCGCTGACCCTGCTGGCCCTCTGGACCCTCCAGGGTCCCAGGACCAACTCCCAGGCACCCGCTCCCTGGCTCAGGCTTGTCTCACCCCCTGCCCCCAGGCCTGATCCACGTGCACAGGAGGAAGATGTTCCAGGCCACAGTCCTCTCAGTGGAAAACCTGCAAAGCAGCAAGTCCACGTGAGGAAGACTCCCCCCCACACCTGTTCCAGCCCCTCCTTCCCCGGACCCCGGCAGCCTCCTCCTCCCACATTCTGCCTCCCACTCCCTGTAACTGCCCCTCTCCTCACCCCCAGCCGGGCCACGATCCTGGTGCGCCTGGACACTGGAGGCCAGGAGGGGTTCCAGTACCAGCCGGGGGACCACATCGGCGTCTGCCCGCCCAACCGGCCCGGCCTTGTGGAGGCCCTGCTGAGCCGCGTGGAGGACCCACCCCCCCCAGGCGAGCCGGTGGCCGTGGAGCAGCTGGAGAAGGGCAGCCCTGGTGAGGGGGCTCGGTCTGAAGCATGGCATTGAGGGCTTGCTCCATCCCCATGGCGCCAGGGTTCCCTGGGTTCAGGACCTGGCAAAAGGTTGCCACATTCGCTCAGCTGGACAGTCCACAGAGCGAGGCTCCTTTCTCTGAACCTGTCCCCACACACCTTTAGCCTAAAGGCTGTCTCCTACCTCAGGGCTCCTCCCAAAAGCTCCGCCTGGCCACTAGCCTGCTCTGTAGCTGGCATGCAGTCTACCTTCCGCTGCCCCCCGAGCCTGGAGTTAAAATAAGTTGGGTGGGGGAGAAGTAGAGGAGCCCAGACCAACCCAATCCAACCAGAGGCCCCAAAAGAAGCAACATGGGGGCTGTCCAGACAGTTCCAACACCGCTGTTCAAGGGCAAGTCACCGAAAACATGAGGCGTGGTCAGGCCCCATGTCCTCTCCAAGAAGCATTCATCACCCCAGTCCGGCTGCCCCTTCCTCAGAGCTCCCCTATGCACGACCCCCAGGTGGCCCTCCCCCCGGCTGGGTGCGGGACCCCCGGCTGCCCCCCTGCACGCTGCGCCAGGCTCTCACCTTCTTCCTGGACATCACTTCCCCGCCCAGCCCTCGCCTCCTTCGACTGCTCAGCACCCTGGCTGAAGAGCCCGGCGAACAGCAGGAGCTCGAGACCCTCAGCCAGGTTGGGAGCCACCCAGTGCGGGGAGCAGGGGCTAGTCAGGCTGGATGAGCTGGGGGGAGGGGAGCCTGCCTGGCTAGCAAGTGCTGACCCAGCTCAGAGTCACTAATGAATCTAGAATGCTCAAGGGCTGAAAGAGCTGGGCACGGAGAAGGTGCTCGGGAAGGCTGGGCTGGGTGGGGTCAGAAGGTGAAGTCAGCAGGCAGCACGGGAGGTTCCAGCACCCTGCACCCCACCCCACAGGACCCTCGGCGCTACGAGGAGTGGAAGTGGTTCCGCTGCCCCACGCTGCTGGAGGTGCTGGAGCAGTTTCCGTCGGTGGCACTGCCTGCCCCGCTGCTCCTCACCCAGCTGCCCCTGCTCCAGCCCCGGTACTATTCCGTCAGCTCAGCACCCAGTGTCCACCCACGGGAGATCCACCTCACAGTGGCCGTGCTGGCATACCGGACCCAGGGTGAGGCTGGGGAGGTGGGGTAGGGCCAGGGCCAGGGCCACACAGTGACCCTGGAGTGGGCCCTCACGGACCCCTTCTCCTCCCAAACTAGATGGGCTGGGTCCCCTGCACTATGGAGTCTGCTCCACATGGCTCAGCCAGCTCAAGGCCGGAGACCCTGTGCCCTGCTTCATCAGGGGGTAAGTGAGCACGTCAGGGGATGGAGTGGACAGACAAGAAGAGAATGTCTGTCCGAGCAGGGGCAGAGAAAGAGCCACATGGGTGGCCAGGACAGATGGAGGACTCTGTGGGGGCCGCACAGGGTGAGGCTGGAAGCGCTGGTGAGGGGTGTGACTGGGAGCAGGGAAGACTCACTTCACATATCAGGGACGGGGTGTCTGGCTGAGCCACTCCAGGACGTGGGCTAAGCTTTGGGCCTTTCACCAATTTGGATGTAGGGTCCTGCTCTGAAACGGTGGCCCCCAGAGGCAGGGCTGGGGTTCAGCCTGAGGTTGGGAGGCACAGCCCCTAGGCCCGTGGTCGGCAAACTGCGGCTCTCGAGCCACATGCGGCTCTTTGGCCCCTTGAGTGTGGCTCTTCCTAAGCCTTAGAAGTACCCTAATTAAGTTAATAACAATGTACCTACCTATATAGTTTAGATTTAAAAAATTTGGCTCTCAAAAGAAATTTTAATCATTGTACTGTTGATATTTGGTTCTGTTGACTAATGAGTATGCCGACCACTGCGCGTAGGCACTGTGCCTGTTCAAGGATAAGCCCCTCTCAGTCCAGGGAGAACTAGTTCAGTTACGGTAAGATCAAGGAGGACTCAGGATACCCTCCCCTCATGCTGTGTAAGTCTTGCCCCACAGCAAGGAGCCGAAAGTCTCAGGTGGGACAATGAAGAGTTCCCAGGATGGCACCAGCTAGGCCCAGTGACCCAAACCCATCCAGGAGGTGAAATTACAAATAGGCTGTGACCTACTGAATACAAATTACCTACCAATACGGAGACTAATAAGCACACCCAGGGAACTCATAAACCAAGACTGGCCTTCCCATCCCCTAGTTTCTAACTCTCCTCAACTGAGACATCAAAATGGTCTTCAGTTCAGGTTTGAACTGTGTTTCCTTTCACCCAGCTAGCAGAGTTCAGTTACTAAACACGTCGTGCTTACTATGAACTAGACACGGTCATAGCACTTGACAAAGCAGTCACTCCGTTGCCAACAGAAGCCGAGTTCTCCTCTCTCCACCCCGCACAAGTGGTAAGACTGGGAAGCGGGGAAGCAAGAGGCCTGACGAAATGTCTCTCTGCTAGGGCTCCCTCCTTCCGGCTGCCACCCGACCCCAGCTTGCCCTGCATCCTGGTGGGCCCAGGCACTGGCATCGCCCCCTTCCGGGGATTCTGGCAGGAGCGGCTGCACGACATTGAGAGCAAAGGTTCGGCTGGGGGGCCAAGGGAATGACGGGGTCACAATCTAGGGACAAAGAGGTGGGGGCTGGAGTGCAGGAACCAGGTAGGAAAGAGGGCAACGAATGGGCCACAAAGGTGGTCTAATTAGCTCAAGGGGAGGAGAAGGCCTAGAGGCCAGGGCCGTGCCCGGTAGGTCTGGCCTCCTGGTGCTGGGCACAAAGTCGGGGTTGGATTGGATTAAGGACAAAGAGAACTGGAAGGGGACCGGGCTGAGACTCAGAAGACAGAAATGCCCCAGGAAGACTCACCCAGGTGAGGCCAGGACCCAAGAGGTACAGGGTGTTCAGGGTGGGCACAGGGTGCCCAAGGCCTCCGGTAAGTCACAAGAAGGGGGGCTGTGACTGGTAGGAAGTGGGAGCTCAAGGTGGGGGGAAATATGGGTTGGAGCAGGGAAGGAGCCAGATAGAATCCCCACTGCAGCTCAGAGGGTGCAAAGGACAGCAATTCTGAGTACTGAGCCCATGTTCTAGCGCCACACACTGGCCACTGGAGCCCAGGAAAGGCACCGCCTCCGGTGAACGTGGGCTTCCCTGTGAATCAGGATCAGGCAAGGCTTCTGAGAAATACGTCCTGCGCTCACCTAGGAGCCAAACAGCCCAGGGTGGTGGTTTCTGCCCGAAAGGCGGGGGCTGTCAGCCTGGGCGAGAGTAGCCAACAGGAGGTGCGCCCCGCCCGGGGAGGCAGCCTCCAACCCGAAGCGCTGCTTGCAGGCCTGCAGCCCGCCCCCATGACGTTGGTGTTTGGCTGCCGATGCTCCCAGCTTGACCACCTCTACCGCGACGAGGTGCAGGGTGCCCAGCAGCGCGGGGTGTTCGGCCGCGTTCTCACCGCTTTCTCCAGGGAACCCGACAGCCCGAAGGTGGGGACCCGGGCGGGCGCAGGGGCAACCTGAAGCTAGGAATGTGGGCAGGCCCGGCGCGCGCGGCGGCGGGGGATCAGGCCCAAGCCCCGCCCCCTTAGTGAACACCCTCCGCTTGGCCCCTCAGCTCCCGCCCAGCCCCATCACTGGCCCAAGGCCCTAGGGGTCTCCCCCACCCTCCCCCAAGCCCCGCCCCTGTTCCATCCACCGCTCCAGACCTCACCCCAGTTCACTTTGGCCCGGGCGGACCCCTGACCCTGCCTCCCCTCAGACCTACGTGCAGGACATCCTTCGGACAGAGCTAGCGGCGGAGGTGCACCGCGTGCTGTGCCTCGAACGGGGCCACATGTTTGTCTGCGGCGACGTCACCATGGCAACCAGCGTCCTGCAAACGGTGCAGCGCATCCTGGCGGCGGGCGGGCGGCGGCCGGGTAGGGGCCCGGCGTGCTCCGGCCGAATCTGGCTGCCGGGTTCTGATCTCCTGTTTTCCCCGCAGGATCAGCAACGCTATCACGAGGACATTTTCGGGCTCACGCTGCGCACCCAGGAGGTGACCAGCCGCATACGCACCCAGAGTTTCTCCTTGCAGGAGCGGCATCTGCGGAGCGCAGTGCCCTGGGCTTTCGACCCGCCCGGCCCCGACACCCCTTGCCACTGAGAGCCCTCTTTCCTGCTTTCCACCCAGTTCCCGGAGAGAGGCCGTAGTCCACACTGGCGCTGCAGCTCTTCCCTCGGCCTGCCCAGGCCCGGCCACCTCTCTCTCCCTTCCCCAGGTGCCTTCCCCGTCTGTGCAGAGTCCGCGGAGACTCGCTTAACACCTGGGGAGTCTTTCTCCCTCTAGGCCTGGTTCCCTACCTCGGGTCTGACCAATCTGGAAGGCCCCTCCCAGCAGTGGTATTCCAAAGCCTCCTGTCACCCTCTTCGTGTTCTTTTTTAAAATATATATATTTTTATTGAGTTCAGAGAGGAAGGGAGAGAGAGAGCTAGAAACATCAATGATGAGAGAGAATCATTGATCAGCTGCCTCCTGCACGCCCCACACTGGGGATGGAGCCCACAACACGGGCATGTGCCCTGAGCGGGACTCAGAAGGTAATCAATCTCCTGGTTCATAGGTTCATGCTCAGCCACTGAGCCACCCTCTCCGTGTTCTTTAGGTGGATTTTAGATTTCCCTTACCTCTCTCAGGAGTATTTTATCTCAAAACCTAATCTCCAAATCATTCAAATATTTATTATTGAAGATTCACCATAAGAGACTGGACCAGGTGTTATGAGAGCGACTGAGATGCCTAACCCAGCCCTGTGGATTAAAATTACAGAATGACAAGCTCTGTCTTTTAACTTGTGCGGACGTGGGGGTGGTAATTCTTGGAGAGCAGTCCTACCCTACATACTCCACTTTGACCCAGCTCTCTAGGAGCCAGGCTGTCAGTCACAGTCATTCCGGGGAGCTGCTCCCTCACTCTTGGCTGAGAAGCCGTACCGCCCTCTGCTGTCAGGAATGGGAACACTGGAGACCAAGGTCGTAAAGATGAGCAGCCCTGAGCAACCTTTACCACTGGTTTCAGACAGGATGGGGAGCCACACCCACTTCCTCAAACGTCATACTGATGCCGAACTCCAAAAACATCAGCCCTCGCTAGTCTTTCCACTCACGAGTCCCCGTGTCCCCCTCCACAAATCCCATGGGAACCTGAAGAACCAACTGCCTCCCAGGCACGTTCCTCACGGTTTCCCGTACACTGAGCTTGGCCTCCACCTTGGCCTTGCCTCCCAGCTGGGACTTGTTCCCAAGCAACTGTCCCAGGACAGCTAATGGGGTGGGGGGGGGTGTCGCCTTCTCCCCTCCATGTGGGGATTGTCTCTAAGACATGTTTCCAGATGCCCTTGCATCTCCTCTCCTACTCTTTCTCTGCTCTCTGGGGCCAGATGGTCATTGACCCCCAAGTCCTGCCCAACTAAAGCATCTCGGGGGCGCCCCTAAAAAGGGCTTGGCATGTTCTTCCACTCCACCTCTTCTGGTCTCCTGGGCTGGAGAAGCTGGGGAACCTGAGGGAGGAGAAGCCTCTTGGCAAGCAGTCCAGGGGTTTAGGTTCCAGAGATGACCATCCCCCTCACCTCAAATACCCACCCCTGTTTGCATTCCTCCAAGTCTGGTTCCATCTAATTTCCTACTCATCCCCTTCCCCGCCCCCATTAGACAATACTGACTCTGAGGAGCCCTCTCAGGCAGTGCTATGGGTCTGGCCAGGCTCCTTCTGAGTGTCCATGGTCTGAAAACCTCCAGGGAACAGATTCTGGGTCCTCTGGGTTCTCCACTGCTGTCTGGGGCTGGAGGCAGGACTGGAGCCTAATGAGAAAAGCCATCAGCTGGGCAGTGCCCTGGTGCCTGCTATGCCCCCAGGACCTGTCCCCTGCACACCCTGACCGCCTCACCATCACTTGACCAGGATGGCTTCTCCTCATCAGGTGAGAGTGTTTGCGGGGGGCTGGACCAGGGCCTGGACAGGGAGGAGGCTGAGGCCTCGCCCCACAGTTCCTGCTGCTGCTGCTGATGGAGCTAAATGGAAGAAAAAGAAATGAGGACTCCCTCCTGCTCGCAGCACGAGGCCCAGGCCCTGGGCTGGGCACAGAGGGCTGTGAAGCCTCCTCCCCAGCCCCTGTCGGATGCTCCCTTACCCCTCCTCAGCCTCTATGTTGGGCAGTTGCTTTCTCCCCACATCCTTCTGCACCTCTTTACTCACCTGGTGCAGGTAGATGGCATGAAGACTCATCTCAGCAGAAGCAAGCTCTGGTAGCTGGGCCAGCTTCGGGCCCCCAGTACCTCCAGGGGACACACAACTGGAACAGAGGGTGGCATAGATCAAAGACATGCCCCTCCCCCGGCACCCCACAGGGAGGGCAGGCTTGACCTCCCCTTCCCAATCAACCACAGTGCTCCCGCACCCTGCACCCTCCTCTTGGAGGATCAGCCCCACCACCCCTGCTCCCCTGAATCCGGGGCCCCCAACCCTCACCTGTGGTCCTGGCCAATTCGGGAAATGGAAGCCAGGAGGCTGGCCGTGGCTGCAGCTGGGCAGGGGGCTGTGGGGCTCAGGTCCCGTGGGGGCAGAAAGGGGTGCACCAAGAGGTTAGCCAAGAAGGCCTCTGGCTGCGGGCAAGAGAAGACGGGTCAGGATAGAGGACAGAAGGGGGGAAGGAGGTCTCAGCAAGGCAGGAGAGCAGGCTGGACCAGTGAGTGAGCAGGTTAATACAAAAGGTGAGGCAGAGGGAGGGGAGATGGGCGGGGCCGGAGGTGGGGGCAGAGGGCCGGCCAGGCTTAGCTCACCAGAGGTGAGGAAGAGTCGCTGAGTACCCCAGGAGTGGCAGGGCTGCGAACCGAGGTGGCGCCCAAAGCGGCTGCATCCTGTTGTACCCGGCCTCGAAGTTGCCCCAGGAACTTGGAGCTGTGCCCTGGGGGGCGCCATTGTGGGTGCACCAGGGAGAACCTCATTAGGGAGAGCTCAGTCTTTCCGTCCTCTGCACGCTGAGACTGCGAGGCCTCTGTCTGTCCTGCCGAGAGCCACTGAGAGAGAGAAAAAGCTGCAGTGGGAGCCTCGTGGGGTATGAGGGACAGGAAACACTAGCCCCAGTCTTCAGGTGAAAGAACAGAGGCCACAATAGACACTTGCTCAAGGTCACCCACAAATACAGCAGCAGAGCTGGGACCTGGGTCAAGGCCCAGCACTGGAAGCTGGTGTGGGCTCAGTGTTTCGCCAACTATACACACCAGACCCGAGGCTAGCCTGGGCCTTGGTGGGGAAGGCCAGTCTTACTCCAGCCCCACCCACTGACCAGCCCATTTCTCGGCCTCTCTGGTGGCCTTCACTCCATTTACTGGCGCTAGGATTATACACACATCATCCTTACACAGCCCTGTCCATTGGCTACAGTCATTGTCCTCAAGGACACTAGGGCACAGGGAAGGGAACTGGGGGGCAGCCCCTTATCTAACCATCACCCCGAACATCCTGGGAAGGACTCCAACCTGAGGGTGGCCGTGGCGCTTCACATCCATGAGGGCAAAGGAACAGATGTCACCAACCCCAGCCACATCCACAGTGAAATGATGAAAAAAGTCAATAATCTCCAGGGCACGAGGGCAAAACCAAAAGAGCAGAAACAGTGGGGTGAGGAGGGGGGACAGGAGCTCCTCCAAGAGGGAGACCTGGGGAAGAAGGGGGGGAGGGGCGTTAAGAAGGGGTTGCTGAGGGTGACCACGACCAAGAGGCCCCCAGGGATGCGGGCCAGGGCAGGAAACCTCCAAGCCAGGCAGTCCCCGGCTGCCAGTCCCGGGGCCATTTGTCCCAAGCCCTTTCCGAGACCAGGCGGCTGCACAGCTTCCAAGCGGAGCAGCCCCGCTTGGGTCTGGACCCTCACCGCTCGGTATTGCAGCAGCCGCGCCATCTGCCGGTAAGCGCTAGCCCTGCCGGCAGCACCGGGCTCCTCGGGGAGGTAATGCATGTGGGCCAAGGCCGACTGCAGCAGGAGCTGCGGAGAACGTGCCTGGCACTGCTCCTCCGGAATGAAAGACCTGGAGGGCGGGATCCGGGCGGGAAAGGCGCCTGAGGTTAGGAGGCTGTGCGGACCGGGAGGCAGGGTTGGGAGCGGGGGAGGGGGGACTCAGCCCTAAATCAGAGGCATGCCCCCCTCCCTGGGCAGCTCCGGTCGCACCTGGCCACGGTGGCCGTGACCCCGAGCGCGGTCATGGCGGTGAGCACGTGCTCCACGGCGAGCACGTCCTCGTCATAGACGGTGAGCAGGAGCAGCGCGGCG